ATATTTATATGTAAATAAAAGCAATTAAAAAAAGAGTAAACACATACTTAATATATTAATAGTATGCACTAGTAAATCTATAGTGTCAATTTAAATCAAATTTAAGTCACTACTGCTCCTATTCATTATATCGTTATTTTATACTTTATTTTAATATAAAATAACGATATGTCGAGTAGAAGCAATGGTGACTTAAATTAGACTTTTGACATTATTATAAATTTTTAACAATGTGATTTTGAATATAACTAAATATCGAATTGTAGAAATGTCCCAAATATTCGTGTAAAAAAAGACATAACATCATTTTAACATATAAACGTTTATTGACGTCATTTTAACGTTATGAAATTCCTGCAAACAGCATTTTATAATTATATATATATATATATGTATATATATATATTAATATTTAAAATTTCAGACTTAATTTTCTCATATTATAAAATTCCATTTCATGCTACTAGATTTATAATACATGAAAAAATATAAATATTTTATGGAAATATCAGGAACTGTAATTTCTGTATCTAAATGTGTGAGACAAGATTTTTGCATTAACGGGAAACTCGATCGTTAACCCCAATCATGAATCGTCGTGGTGTCATCGGCTATAAATTTCTAACAAGATGAAGAAGAAGAAATAATTTATTGCTTCTAATTATTTTATGCCAATCACTTTCTGTCGTGCAAACTAAGTACGGTTCTTTCCGGTTTGTTCAACACACCGTCTCGTGAAAAAATAGTGAGAACGGTAAGCGCGAACGCGCGCAAGCGGATATTAATTTAAATCGTCGATAGAGAAGCAATAAACGTATGCCTGTGTTCATCTGCTCGTAGAATTGTTCTATTTATTATTACATTTCCATTGCTGAATCTGCATAGCACTAATGCAATCCATATTCGCGCAAGAGTTGTTCCTAAATAATTAATTTTAGCACAGAGCACAGCCGTCGGAATTCCTTAAGAATCATTCCTTGCAATGCAAATAAATTGTTCTTTCTTTAAATTATGGCGCACGCGATATTAAAATAATAGGAAGCGAAAAAGCTATATTATAAGGCTAAAAATTAAAGAGAGAAACTATCGTATTACAAAATTTCAAAACCTTATAATTAAAAAGTTGATTAATAGAAAAGCTTTAATATGTTCATATGTACAATATTAATGGCCCTATTCACTTATTTATCTTTGAACAAGTAAAAAAATAATTATAGTTTAAAAAATCCTAATACTTGACCTTTGACGGTTTTATAATAAAGTTCCAAATTATTGTATGTATAATATAAGCATCTGATTAAGAAAAATCGATAGCTCCTCAGTGACCGTCGGAAAAAATATGGTGTGAATTTTTATTTTTAAACCAGATAATAAATAGATTCCCCCTCTCTCTCTCTCTGTACGACGCCATACAGGTAATTTTCTAGTTCAAGGCGGCGGAGGTATTACTGATTTTCCACTCTGTAGCTAACCATCACGAAGTCGCTTCTTTTCATCTAGTATATTTCTATCGTAAGATTTATTCGATTAGCACGTTGCCGATTAGATCGCCGCGGGCAAGAAGGAAAGTGCATCGCTGGCGCATCCATAGATGCATTCTATTTGTGGGCGTGCCTATACCGGAAGTCATAATCACATCGCATCAAGAGATCGCGCCGCGAGAAAGCAATTAGTTCACGTCGATAATTAATTAAACTTTCGCGATCGATTCCGCGACACAATGCAACAGCATGTGCTTCAGATAGGAAGCGATCGAGAAACTTTCATGTAGAACGCGACAGAAGATGAGGTGAATCTCTCGATATCTATCATAATTTTTATACCGCTACGAAGAAGTTAATTAAACTTCCTTCTTTCCTTTTTACATCACATGTGTATACATTTCATCTACATATATCTTGCAGTTACAATTTCTGTATATGTACATATAACCATTTAATAAAAAAACGATTTTGTTATACTGAGAGATTGTGTGAAAAAGGTATACTTAAAAATTTATTTGTAATTTATAATGTTTACTTTACTGAAATCAATTTTTATTTAAATATAGGACAAAATAAAATTATATTCCTAGCAAAAAAGAGAGAATGCTTATTTTTACAATTAATGACATTTACATCTTTACAGAAACGTATGTATACGTATATCGTCATCATAGTCAATTTTTTATGATAAATATAAAAAAAATATCAAGTTAAATTCAATTGGAGCTGTAAATATTTTCTTGTGAATATTTTAATTTTTTTTCCTCAGTAGAGTATTTAAAAATTTAGCCACATACAAATCTGAAAATTTATCATTTTACTAGCACATTCCTTGCGCGCGCTACGCGCGCGATGGTCCATTGTGCTCTTTTTAAATATTATGAATTATGTTTCTTTGAAACTTGTTTTGAAATCAACAACTCCTCTAATTCCTACTAATACAAAATTTCCCTGAAATTTGAAAACCTTTAGAATTTCATTATTGTTTTCGATCGCCACATTAATTCTACCATTTTGATAAACAATATTTAGTTTATTTTTTTATTCAATCGTTTATGTCGAAAAATTCGACCCACAGTGTAGTTGTGCTGGTTCGCGTACAAGAGTAAAGTACATTAAAGCAATTAATTGACGGGATCATTTTGATCTCAAAATGTTTCTAGAATTATTTGCTCCAAGAATATCCAGAATCCGATATTTTGCTCATCGTTTACGTCGAAAAATTCGACCCACAGTGTGGCTGTGCTGGGTCGCGAACAAGAGTAAAGTACATTAAAGCAATCAATTGCAGGGACCATTTTGGTCTCAAAATGTTTCTAGAAATATTTGCTCTAAGAATATCCAGAATCCGATATTTTACTCATCGTTTACGTCGAAAAATTCGACCTACAGTGTGGCTGTGCTGGGTCGCGTACAAGAGTAAAGTACATTAAAGCAATTAATTGACGGGATCATTTTGATCTCAAAATGTTTCTAGAATTATTTGCTCTAAGAATATCCAGAATCCGATATTTTACTCATCGTTTAATCAATATACCTAATTTCACCAAAATCGAACAATCTTTAGGATTTCCGTTAATTTTATGTTATTCGTTTAATCAATATACCTAATTTCACCAAAATCGAACAATCTTTAGGATTTCCGTTAATTTTACGTTAGCCATATTATCCACTATTTCGAATTTTCAATTTTTGAGTACAGATTCGAAATAATCGACCCCGAAAATCCTCGAATACGAAATCACATCAAAATCAGAGAATTCCAACAGCCTCAACGAAAAGAGGCTTCAAAAAAGCGTAACACGCCAATTTTAAGATATGATTAACCATCGAAAACATTTATGTAGGACGCTGAAGCTAGAATATCAGAACTTTTTCCAGCATGGCCCATTATGCTTGAGTATTCTACATAATTATTTTAAAAATCCAACAAAATTATTTTCAGATCTGTACCTACCAAAAAAACTTTTAGTTCAAAATCATGTAAATATATTAAAAATATTAATCTATAATATACGTAATTATAAAAATAAGAATTTTGATAAATTCCATATATCTTACTTAACGAGATAAATCAATTAAAAGAATTGCAGTATCTCGTTTGTATAAATATAATGTCATACAGAGCATGTAATTTCCACCCAAATAGCATAATCAGATAAATCTCGGAGTGGTTCGAACATTACGTGAAAATTACTCGGGTCACGACACCCCCGAGTGTCTTCAATTAATTGCAAGCTACGTAATAGCATGTGCGTTAAGTACAACCGGAGATACCGTGTACCGTAATGAACCTTCAGACACTGCATTACTATATAACCGCAATTGGAGGGCGAAAATTCCGCCGTTTCCAGCGTGCCACCGCAAATTGCATTCGATCGCGTTGCACTCCCGTGAAATTAATTACGCATTAAATTCGTTATCGGACGCCCGGCCGATATTGTTCGAGAAGATCGGTATCGATCGCGATCGTTGCGTCCGCGCGATCAAAGATGTCAATATTCATTATAACCCGTGTGGGGCTCGTTTGCAACCCACGCGAGGAGCGCAAATTAATGGCAGATTGGCGTCGTAAGCTGTCAACCACCGTTCAAATGTAATCAGACGCGGGCCGGAGAGCTGCCAGCCCCGCCACTGTGATTTATGTATATGCGGTATCCGAATAACTACAGTGTCAGGATAACCGTCGTTCGCTTTGAACGGTAAAGTTTTTCTTGCACAAATTGAATATATAAATTCTGTAAAGCGTATAATAAATTATAAGTCCTTAATTTCCAACTTAGAAGTTTGGTTGGAGACATTCCGTTTAGAATTCAGTTATTATATGTAAGTCTTATATTTGTGTAACTTAAACATTTTTCAACATTCCGAAAAGTTAACTTGCTCTCATTTCATACGCAGTTATCTTCTTTCAAGCCCCAAGTATAAATGTCATCGCGTTGCAGCTCATATTTCAGTTGTGCAGTATCGCAATATGTGAGAAATTATATTATACGAATTGAAGGCTCTTCTCCCGCTTCGCGAGAGGGAGAATCATACAATTCTTCTACCAAGAGTGTAATTGCGCACGTAATCGAGTAAACGTCAATATCGTCTTGAAATCGAATCACCGTTTTCTCGAAAAGGCCAACCAGCATGAGAGCATTCAGGAAGGGGAGTTCGACCTCTCCCCATTTTTTATGATTAAAAGATATAATTGACAAAACCTAATATTTAATCCCTAATATTATAATAATTAATTCAAAATCAGAAACAAGAAAGAGACATTTTATAAGTTCTAAAATAATAAAAAAAAAAGCATTTTATTAATCAAAAAATTGTTGCTTATAATAATAGAATTGATAATTTCCCCTCTAAAAACAATCTTGGATACGCTCATGCTAACGAGTGTCCATTAAAATTTAAAATTTTGCCGCGTTTTTGTTACACGGTTTAAATGACTTCAAGTTCACCGACTCGTGTGTGTGTGTGTGTGTGTATAATTAAAATAGTTACTCTATTAAACAGAAAACGTACCTGATAGTTGTCGTTCCGACTGCGAGCGCGGTTGCTGCTGCAAGCTCTGAAAGCAACGGAGAATATATCATTAGTATAAGAAATAACGAGGCTCTCGTGTTTGCTCCCGTAGCAAAGAGCGCTTTTAGCACGAACGCGTTTACTGCAATGTGGTGCACTGCAGCGACAGCGTATTTCAAACTGTCGCGGTAAAAGCATCGTTCAAAACAAATTAATTCTTCCGCTTAACGATCAGTTAGTAAATTTGTAAAGTCCTCGGCGTGAAACAAGCGCACAAAGAAGTGTCGATATATGTATGTTTATTTGGAATATATTTCAAATTACAATGCACAGATTAGAAAGTTTAATTTAACCGCGTAACTAGATAATGCAATTCTTATTGTAATAATGGGAAAAATCGATATTTAACTTCGTCGAATCTAGCGCAGAGTTAATTATTTGATACTAGTCGGTGACACAGAAGACGAGATCCTTCATTGTTAGGGGATCCTAACTTCGTCTTATTTCCATAACAAGAGATACCTAATAATCGACGCGACATTGAATCGTGACCCACTTGCAGTTATTGAGCTGGTCGACCTCGAAAATAACGGACGAACAACCGTGACCTTATCTACACCGTGCTCCACTGAGTGGATGCGCCATCGATCGATATCCTTCCAATATTCGCGAAAAAATAAGAAGTAATTAACCTTGGAATACACGACACGCGATGCTCCACGTTTTCGTCCCGAAAAGAGCATCGTAAAATTAATCGTTTCCCTCAACTCACAGAATCACTGTAAGTGTAAAATTAAATCAAAGAAGCTAATAATAACGTGATAGTCAAACAATTAATTAAGTTACAGTATTAATTCCCGCAAAACACAAATTAGTAGTGACATTAGGCAATGTTAGAATTTCTTACTCAACAATGTAATTGTTACATACAACATGTGTTATATCGCATTTATGTTGTTAAGTGCGAAATTATAAATTGATATATTGTTAACTTGAGACCTGCGGATTTATATAACATTGATGATTTCTGAAAGATGTTTCTTGTATTAATCATTCTGTCATTACTCAAAGCTTAGTTATTAAAACACAACATGAGTCACAACATGAGTCGACTTTGAAAAAAAGGGTGTTGGCCTGTTATGCGATCATAAAATCATGAATATCTCTGGCTCTATCGATGCCATCTTTAACAATCGTAGACTAGTCGTCCAATATTCTTCAAGCGAAACTGAATAGGCGTGGCTATCTTTTTCACAACTTATTGAACTTTAAACCAGATTCCATGAAATTCTCACACAAAAGTTATATTGCTTCTCGGGATCCCATTTACTTTGTCGAATCATTTCATCTATCGGCAACGGCTACGAAATACAAAACAAAATAATATAACAGAAAAAAATGCAATATCTTTTGCAAAAAATTTTACCGAAATTCTCAAACAAACGTATCTTTTTTAAACCGTGCATTCCGAGAAGCATATTTTACAACAGAAACGCGCACAAAGCAATTGAGTCACTGCAATCTTGGCAATTTCGAAAATAAATATTTCTCTTTCTCTTTCCCTTTCTATTTCATTCTACAATGTTTCTGCATGTATTACCGCAATAAAATAAGTACGATTATTTTTCATGGATTTTTCATGGAAGAAAAGTTAAATTATTCTTCAATATTTGTACGAATAAAAGCAGATATTAAAATTTTCCACATTTAAAATAATGATTTCTTTTTGTAACTATGAGATTAAATGCACAGCGTATTAAAATGTGCACTTCAGGTATTACAATAAATGTATGTAATGTATTCAGAACTGTTTTCCTCACAGATAGATTTCTATCGTTCATGAAACCAAATTAATGACCAATTAAAATTTTCATTGCACACGTGTCACACGTTGTAGATTGTTTGCAGGATGTTCGATTCGTTACAGAAGATACTGATTTCAAAAGGAACGATTGTATGTCATTTGCGATTTTTCTGAGACAGAAAGAGAGAGAGAGAGAGAGAGAGAGAGCCGTGCGTTTAAAACAGCTGACCTGACGAAAGCCACGAGTTTTCCATGGCGTGGCCTTCGTGCACGCGTACGTAATAGACCACACGGTGTGGCTATTCGAGGTCCAAGGGATACCAACCGATTAATACGCCACCACGGCTGGTTGCCCTATTAGCTTTGATCGCTCAACATAGGCAATCCGGTACTGGGAGTTCACGCGCGACTTCCGCGCGCGCTCTCGTGCAATGGGTGTTTACCGAGGCAACATGTTCACTCGAGCGCGAATCTCCCCGTGTACTGACACTTCATTGATAATTTGCATACGCGGCCACCGTCCTACGAAAACTGCGGAGATAAACGTGGGCATCGCGGCGGCGAAATACATTTCGGGCGCGTCAAAGGTCGAAGTTGTGACCGCGCTCGCAACACGGAATACAAAATGCAGCGGGACTTGAGCAATCAAAGCATCGTCGTCAGTTGCACCGAAAATATGTAACGTAAATAAAGTATCGACTCCCTCGACTCCAAGTGCATCCATGCGAAGCTTCGCTTTTACTGTCAAAGACTGACCTTGCACGATTTTCGTACATGAAACGAACGAACGGCGATCTCTACGTTTGTTGGATATTTCGTGTGCACGTAGCGACGTGATACTAAAGAGGATGATACTAAAGAGAATAATGCTAAAGAAGAATGTTGGGGAATACTGATCGAGAAAACAATAAACGCGACCTATTTAGCTCGACCGTTCAGTATGGCTTTTAAATTTAATTGCAAATAACGGTTAATTGCCGCGCTCTTTTAACAGGGCAAATAGCGCTGAAATAAATTTTCTTGTTACTATTGACGTAAAATATTCACAAAACCTTTATAAAAGATATAGAATGAAATAATTAGGCGTAAATTATAAATTCAACACAAAAATTTCCTTCTGTAAAATATAAACTATACCATCGAAAAAGTTTGTATATTTTATCTCATCAAAATTAAAAAAAAAAAAGAAAAAAGACGCCAAGTGCGTCATTCTCTCATAAAAAAAAGCCGTTACATAAATTATTTTATAATATTATAAATTACATCTCTGTAGTACATATGGATATATTTCAACAAAAAAAATGAAATGAAAAATTTTTTAATTGCGCTAATTACGAAAAGAATATATATTTTCTCGAAATATATATTTTTTATAATTTTACATTTTCAATAGAATTCAATCTCAAAAAATTAAAGACGAAGCAGCACAAAAAACTTGGCGCTGCTAGACTTCAAAATATAATAACTAAATTAACATTAAAATTACAATTTAAAAAAAAAAAATTATAATAAATTTTAAATCTACTCTTAAATTTATTTTAAACCTACTCCGTTTCTATAACGTATCTCACAAATCTGAAAATTTAAATATCGTATAAACTTTGTCGCAAGAAATTAGATTAAAATTAAATTCTTTAAAAATATCAATTCAACAATACTGTATTCGAATATTCCTCGTTATGTAATTCGCGTTTCGGTTTCCTATACTAGAACTTGTCAATAATCTCTTTGAACGTAATTATCTATACAAATCGCAAAGATTAATTATTTCTTAGAGCAATTAATCATGAAGGATCGATGGTGCATACGTCTAAAGGTGCATCCGTAGCAGAATGACTCGAGCAGTTCCCACGGTAGAGTGATTCTTGTTCGTTTGCATGGAATTCCCATCTATCGTGAAACAGGTGAGTATTCCCGTCAGCGAAAAGTATCCGAGGCTCGTCGCCGCAACGAAGTGTCATTCTTACGACACTTATCGTGGCCCACACGAACCGCAGGCAAGGGATACAAGATACGCGGTAAGCTGGCTAACGTGTCGAACGACGTACGCGAACCATGTGGGCAGAGACTAATAGCTATCCGTGAACAGCAGATCGTCGAACGCAACCTCGCGAAGACGAGGGAGCGTATATCTGTGATACTGCGTCGGGTAATCTCGATACCGATAGCACCGTACACGCTTCGCTGCCGCGCGATTAATGCCCGCCGTCGTCGTCTAGGACGATACCCGATGTAAGCGCCTGGCCTCTTGCTCTTGCTCTGCGCGTCATACTCGAGTTAGCTATCGATACTAAGGGCGATCCAAACCAGCGATTTGACGTCAACCGATGAGCGCTTACGTAAGTTCACGCTTAATTGTTATTAAGTAATAATAAGATAGAAGAATATATATTGGGTTGGAACGTTCGTTACGATACTTCATTTGCATCGTGTCTACATATTTTCAGAAAACTTTAGCAATTATATAAAACGTTGATGAAGCAACGTTTCAGCTTTAAGAATCTGATTTTTGAATTTCGGTATGATGATTTTCATTTTATAAGCAATCAAGGTCAAAACCCTCTTCTTTTTATTTAATCAACTCGATAACTTAATAGTGAGAAATCAGAGGAACATTTTTAAAACACGATTTTGTAAGGGAAACTTTAAGCTTTCACGTTAGAAAGTCGAATATCTCGCGTTTTTTTTTTTGGCACGTGACAAAAAAGAAAATTCCCTATCTTGTCCAGTTCGTAGTTCTCTATACGTATAAAAATGACTAAACTCGCAGAAATTCAAAAGACATAGTGACCTTTCAAAAGTAGAAATGTTAAGCTTTAAAACCCATTTATAAATTTAAATCTTGTTAACGATGTTACAACTACTTGAATTCTAAAGTTTATAGCGCTACGAATTTATGTTCCGACCTATACACTATTAAACCGAACTTCACTAGCTTCTGTCAAATAATTAGAGAATTTCTATGGCTAACTTTTATCTTAATACTCTTGATTAAAGAAAATTTCTTGAATTATCGGATATTATCGGATATCCAAAAGAAAAAAAGAATCGTGTAAATATGTATAAAGTCTTGATAAGATAATACGAAGTATTGATAAAATACAAGAATTTCCTGGTAAATGTGGAAAATATCTATTACATATTTCAATTTTTCTTCTTTAGAAGAAGCATGTAATATTTCAACCAACTTTCCACCATACTATTTACTCAAAGTTAAACACAAAGAGGAGCTCACCGGCACCTTCCTGTTGGCGTTCTTGGCGTCATTGTTCTCTAACAACGGCGCGCTGCTGCTCTTCCCGCCCATTTCTACAGTCAGAGGTTCCGGCTTCAGCTGAAGACTTGCCGCGGACGGAGAGGACGGCGCTCGGGGCGGCGTTTCGAGCAGCTCGCCCGAGCTTAAGGAACTGCTCGCAGTGGTGGACAAGCCTGTCGCAGAAGAATAGTCGAACAGCTAGATTAGAATTTATAACATGCAGAAATAAACTAACGCGGAATATATCATCTAAGTAGTAAAATCTTTGAAACTGGTCTCTTAAAGCGAGTTTTCTAAATAAATGATTCGTATATTTATTACGCTTATGCGCATTATTGCACCGCACATAATAAGAAGACATAAAAACGACAGTTTGACGTTACGTGTAGGAGGAACACTCGGAGATATGCCGACATGACTCACATAGCGGTAAATTCGTAGGCCTGGCCGTCCTGATCCTCGGCAACGAGTCATCGAGACCGCTACTGCTGTCCACCGCGTCCTGCGAGTACTGATCGTCGATTTGTTTCGTTTGCGTATGCACGCTCTCGCGTTTGACCCACACGTCTTGCGAATTTTTATCGTTTCGTGAGTTTAGTTTCGATGGCCGTCGCCGAATTCGCTCCCATGTCTCTTTGCGATGACATTTATTCGGTGTTGACGCTACGTAAAAAATAACGGATGCGTCAAGATTGTAACAATTATCAGTTTTTACATAGTTTAACAACGTAATTTAAAGTTTATTATATGACTGATAAAAAAAAAGTCCTTTAAAAGCAGTAAGCGTGCCATCATCTGATATATACGCGATTATAAAATACAAATTTGATTGATCCTATCTTAAAATTGGCGTGTTACGATGCCCTGAAACCTCTTTTTGTTGATAGAATCCTTCGATTTCAATGAAATTTGATATTCAGGGGTTTATGAGGACGCTGATCATGAATCCGCGTGCAAAATTTGGAAAATTAAAATGGCTGATCCAATATGGCGAATACAAATGTTACGAAAATGTAAAGTGTTCCGAAATCGGTGAAATTTGGAAAAAGATGGTTAACGAGATCGACAATCTAACGCGCTGATAATAATCGGATTTATGACATTTATAAAAATGTAATAAAATTATTTTAACTTACGTTTAGTCAATCGACGGTCTGTGCTCCTAGGTGGACTCGCTGTTCCAATTCCGCTTTCAAGCGGAGATGCTCTATCGGTGGTATCCGGCGATAAACTTCCGGAAGAAATCTCATCCATGCTCTGTAGGATATCTTGGGACGATGACGAGGATCTATTATCATCGTCTACGGTGTCTTGGGGAGAAACTGGATCTAAAGTGCTCTCATCTTGTAATGATTGTGAATCCAATTGGGACTCGGCTACGATACAAGAAAAAAAACATAATTTAACAAACTAAACATTTATATAATAAATAAGAAAATATATATTATTCATTGAAATATTTGTGTATATATTTACATTACATTATGACAATGTTTTGTAATTGTTTTATAGAATAATTAAATTTATAAAATGTATTAGTATTTCGTAAAGAATATTCATTGATAATTAAATTACAAAACTTTTATAAAAATACAATAATTTTTAATATATTTGTAAAGTAAAATAAAATTATAACATCTGTTAATTTTTTATTAAACAAAAATTTTTCTTTGTCAGAAGAAATCGAAAATAAACTAGTATAAAATATCTGTGTTCAGCAAAAAAAAAGCAGCTTTGTAACTGTTATAAAATTCTTGCATATAATTTATCTTGTATATAATTGATCTATACATTTAGATCCAGTAAGGAATTAAGGACAAGATACTGTTTTATATCGTCTAAAAAAAACGATAAAACTCTAAAAAAATTTTAATATCTTCCTCATTTAATGAAGTTAAGCTCATTCGACATGTTTTTGCATCAAATAAATAAATCTGGCAAAAAAGTGTCATTTTGCCTGGATCGAGATATTAATTGTTAAAGTTGTTAAACTATTCAGTTTAAGAAATCTGTCTCATCGATGACATACGAATATGTAAGTAAAGCTAGAATAAATATTTTCTATTTATAAATTACACAAATCTTCTAATTCATAAATACAAATTTTCTGCTTCAAAAACAAATTCTCTCCTTTAAAAACATAAATTTTCCCTCAAAACCGATTTCATCAAAATCGATGAGGAAGATAAAATTCTTGAGTATTATTAAAGAAACATTATATATAATCAAAATAGATGTAATTTTAACCAACTCGAAAGGTCAAGGGAATTAATTTACACGTAAATAAATCGATAAATGGAGCTCTTGTAATATAGTCGTTTACTGAATTACGGAGAACCAAAACGGAAATAAACTTTCCGGGTGTTAATTACCTTCATGAATGTATATTAAATAAGTCATGTAAGCAACGTGGGATGATGAAAATTACCTGGAGGAGAGTCGCAATCGCTAACCCAGGTGAAACTAGAGCTTCTCGAAATCGCTGGCGAAGTTTGAGTTGCCATGTCGGAACAAGTGAGAGTATCCATCGGCGGACTATTCGGGCAACAAGAACCCGAGCCATTTCGTATTCTTGACAATAAAGACTGCAGGGAAATAGGCAGCTAAAATAAATATTAAACAACAAAAAATAAATTAGTCGTTGGTAGAAATTTAAGTAAAGAGCTAATATAATCATAGTGTAGGTGTAAGTAAGAACAGTAGGTTCATTCATGAATTTTCGTATATCTTTTGAACTAAGGGTGAGCAAACGAAAATTCCAACTAAGCATTCGTGAGCAAACGATGAGCAAACGAATGCAAGAAAAAAAAATCGATTTTTTAATATTGGGGGGTCAGCTTCACACGGGTGCTAGATTTTTTTAAAATGGTTATGATGTAGCAAAGAATTTTACTTTAATGTTATTATTAAAGAATTTTTTTTTAATAATTGCATAAATGCTGTATACTAAATTAATAATTATATTTAAATATTTAATTTTTATTAAATAATTATTTCAGTATATAGTTATTCAAATATTTGATTTAAAAAAATATATATATGATAAACATTTTTTTAAATATTTGACTAATTTATTTATTTATTGTATATATTAATAATTATATGTGGTATATTTAAATCTTTTAATTACAATATAATTCTCTAAATTTATAAAAGCTTGTCAAAATAGATGTTGTACATATTATGATGCAAATGAGTCAATACATAATTAATTCATAATTTCAACTTGGTGAAATATAATTAGCGGTAGAAATCAATATGAAACTTACGGATCCCGTTTTCGCGTTTTGTTCCTCTATGATCCTTTTCACGTCAGCGTGCTCCAGCTTGCCGATGGTTCCGTTCTCGATCCCGCAATTTCCATTGACGTCATTGTTCTCAGACAAGTCACAATTCACTGCAACATCGTTGCCCCACGTTCGTGTCAATGAGAATTTCTTCAAGTCCACTGGGCTAATCTGCCTGATGTCTCTATCCGATTCCGACAGCCTTTTTGCGGTGACATCGGAACGTAGAGTTAACGGCGATATCGCTCTCTTTTTTCGAGACAACGTTTCTTTCGAGTTCGCCTTGCTATTTTTCGTCTCGTGGAACCTGTCGTTTCGCAAACGCGACATATCTTGATCCGGTAACGAAGACACGCTGACCAGAATAACATCGTCAGAGCTCTCGTGAAATACCGGAGTGTGTCGTTTTCTCAACAATTTCGAAAACGGTGGCTTCTTCTCTTCCGTCGGTGTCACAGGTGCCGATTTCGGAACACGATTGTCCAACGATCTAGATCTGCCCGTCTCGTCGTTCGGAAATACGTCGTCGTATTCGGGATCCATGATCTCTTGATCATCCGAGCCTCGTCGGAGTCTTTGTAGTCGCATTGCCTTTCGACGTTTTTGATTAGTTAAATTGATAGGAAGGCTCGTTTTTCTCTCGGATCGTTGTCGTGGCGGTAATTTCGCGTTCGTTTCTTCAGGATCTTCCTCGGTGTTTCTGAATGATCCAGCTTGAAGCACGTCTTCATTGGTTTTCGAACTTAATCCTACTCTCTTTGGTGCATGGCAAGGATTCGATTGTGCATCTTTCGAGACACACTCGCGTTCCAATTTCGACGGTAGACTAGAAGTAATCCGATCAATCTGGTTTCTGATCGAGTTTATCGGCAAACAGTTGCTGGGTTCGTCGTAGTCGGAGCTTAGAGTTTCTGTAGTATAAAATCGATGTTTACCGATGATAACCTGTAGATTCTCCGGCAAGCTGCCGCTTTTCCTTCCCTCAGGAATCAGTCGATCGTGGGGCTCATCGTAATCGGAGTTCAGCAGGCAACGACGATCATCGTCAACGAACAGTTTTCCGTTCCTGCGATCTCGAAGATTTTTCTCATCTCGAAGAAAACCATGTTCACCGTTAAACTCTCGATCGGAACACTCGCTATCGGATATTCCAAATTCGTTCAGCAACTCTTTGTATTGTATTCTGATGTCATCGTTGCTGCGCGTGGCTTCTCTCCTTATCTTCTCTTTGGTAAGCTCGTTGATCTCGTTGGCGATTATGCTGTTGAACTCTGCGAGGATACTGTTAGACCACTCACCGATATCTTCGCCACCTCTCGTCAACGAATTTTGTCTTTTCACGAAACCGTGCGATTTCGTAGTAGGTAAGTATTTCGAGATAAACGAATTATCCGCGTAGCTCGATAACTTTTCCGGTTGAGTTGGATGCTTTGTCTCTTCTACGATGCGGAGTGGAGTTGATGGAGCTGAGTCGAATATCTCGCCGATTTCCTCCTGCAACCAATCAGAAATTCAAAGCGTTTAAAACATTGCATTGCCGAAGAATAGTCTTTTCACTAAGAAGTACTTTCTTGTTGCTAAGCGTAATATGCTCGTGAATAGAATATCATAATACCATATGTGCTACGTAATTTAACGTCAGCTAAGGAAGAAGTTTCATTAGAAGTCGTCATCGTGTTTAAACGCAGAGGCAGTCCCTCGATCGATGAGGCTAAAGAGAAACTTGCAAAATCCTATCAACGATAGATAGGTTACTACCTTTGCGTGGATATCTCGTGCGTACAGTTAGCCAGCGGAACGCATTTATAAAGTGGCGCATAATGAAGCGGTTACGAGAGAAGCTGACAGAACCAACGTGGTCCTCGATGCTCGTCATGCAAAATAAAACGAAGGAATCGACCAGCTGCCGCGACTTAAGACGAGCCGATTTCAAGACGCATTCTTTCTCTCTTTCTCTCTCTCTCTCTCTCTCTCTCTCTCTCTCTCTCTTTTCTATGCTTTCTTGTTCTATTTATCTATCACAATCGCATGTTCTTTTCTTGTTTAAAGCACTCTCCCACGTAGTCATTGTGAGATGTGTGTGCACTCTAAGTAAGATAATAAAACGTGGTTGACATTCTAACAATTGAAAATTGAAGTATGTAAGAATTATACAACAAATTGGAAATAAAGGCTCTAAACGATCAAGTTGGATCTTTAGTGTTTAACACTAGAATTGTGGGACTAAATTAACTCAATCGCGGTTCAAGATAAATTTAACTTTTTACGAGGGAGGGTTGTCATCATAAAAGTAAAATTACTTGTAATTAATTACGATTATTTATGAAAAGTTATATAAATCATTCCATATATATAAATGTTTATATACTACATATCCAATCCTGCAAATGACGTACCGAATTTAATTTTCAGTCTTGAAACACAATCCTAACAAAACAAGAGTAGCTAAATTGACCAACAATTTAATAATATTGATGTTTATTAGAAGGTGTTAATACATAGCGTTCAAAATATTCACTAAAATTAAATTATTTAACGAATTATTATTCAGAAGTGTTTCATAAAAAATTACAATTTATATGACAGACATTGCTTCAGTTCTAAATAATAATATATTAAAATTCGCAAAGTTTTCAAACTGACCCTGATTGGTCCTCCTCCACTGCACAGGCGAGTTAAATTGAATTTGCATAAGTCTCTCGATGCAGCTCACTCACGACCCACGCGATTTCGATCTACGCACAAGCCAGATGCGGTCAGACGCTTCGGTATCGTCGATCAATGTATCAAATTATATCGAATGGAAAGAACAAGCTTGATTAAATCGAGGAGTTTAAGACGATTTACAATCCAATCGAAAATTCCGACTTTATTCTTGGAAAGTATTAAAGACTAAAATTAAAAAAAGATAAAAAAAATAAAATCAAGACATGAAAATTGAGGAAGAAAAAATCATTAATCAAAGTTATAATGCCTATTTTCTACAATAATGGTATAATTAGAAAATTGTGATTTTTTTTAGTTGTTTAAAAAAGTAAACGAAAATAAAGAAAAAAACATACTTTAAAAAATACATTATACTTTTATAAGATTAATTATTTAAATTAAATGTTAAATAATTTATTTTATAAAATTTAAAAATACCAAGAAATTTAAGAGTAAAATTTCGCCTTAAAAAACCCAGTATGCAGGTTAAAATAATAAAAAAGGTTAAAATAATAAAATGTTAATGATTCAAGAGATATATTCAATTAATTTTCTAAAAAATTTCATTTTTTGTTATTCATGTCGTTATAGCAAATAAACAATATAAACTAGGAAACAATTATTGAGACGCAGAGTGCGTGAGAGAAGGAACGTGGGAGTCTTAAACCGCAACAACGCAAAACGCATTATACCCACGAGTGAACAAAATTTATAGGCTGCCGTGCGTATTCGGTATGCAAATCAACAACGCGAGTAGTTAGCCTAACCAGCGGACTTAGCGAAACTCATCAAGACGGTGGCGTAGCACAGCACAATATTGGCGCGTAAGACGAAGAGCTGCTAAGATAAGACGGTGGAGGAGGAAGAGGAGGAGAAACTCTCGAGGGTATCCAGCCGGTACGATTGCATCCAGCTGGGCGATCAATCATCGTGCACGAGCTTCCTATTGTTCCTATACGCGGGTGTTACATTGTGCGCCGCGGGCTAATGGCGTATATACCGGGATATAATTGTCTCGGACGTGTCAACCCGTTTAGTATCGGCGACTAATCTCACGGCTTTGATATACCTTGATCTATCTTCCAGTCTATTCCAACAGGTTAATCCTGACGTCGCGTCGGTGGATATGCTTGTAATGTAATTGCAAACTCGCGACTAATTCGGCCTTGACCGTTAACAATAACTACGTTCAAAAGCCCGACCTTCATTCCTTGTATTATTCATCGTTAGAAAATGAGCCATATATGTTGTAAAGACTAGTATACGTATATCTAAAGCGATAAAAAGATTAATACGAAATTTGCAATAAAAAAAATTGATTGTATTGTGGCTAAAATATATCATGAAATTAATTCAAAGATTATCACATCCATAATTTAACAAAATACATTAATTGCAATAAATTATGTAAAAATATACTAAATAATGTATTTTTATTAAATTGCAATTGGGATATCAATTTTCAACTCTCGTTTTTTTTATTCGATATTCTTTTCCATGGTATTTTAAAATATTGAGAGGAAGAGAGAGAGAGAGAGAGAGAGAGAGAGATACAGATAATGCACAGAATTTTTTGTTTCTATCATTACTGTAACGTTATTCTTACATCGTCTTTGTTTTGTTAAATATTTTACACGTTATTTCTGGAAGCAGCGTTTTGACGAGTGCGTTAACAAAGCGACGAGTTTCTCGTACGACCGATTGTTCACGCAAATCTTAATCGTTATAATTGTTGATGGATCGAGTGCAACGTTTACGTCGAAGGACGCGGAAGCGCGCTTGTGAATCGTCTTGATTGGGATCACGTTTAATCTCTGCTCTCTCGCTACGCCTACAATAGCGTACGGCCATCGCGGCGATCGCCATGTGCCATTCTAATATTCTCCATCCATAACACCCCGGCCGGTACATTTATCAAGCCGATATTTATGTGAAAGCACGCACGTCGCGCTTTTAGCGGCGCACTTTCTTCCTACTCGAGATAGCTCTCGTAGCGCAATGATTAGACGAGCACGTCTGGAAAATTTTCTCTCGCCTTCGCGTGGGCTGACCGCTGATGATAACGACAATCAGTGAGATTGACGTTGCTGGAAAACAATAAATTAACACTCGTCGACCACCGTAACATTGATAACGAAAATTGTTCAACAAAAACGTTATTTATGGCGTTATTTATGGCGAACACAGACTTTAAATAATGAGATAATGGATTATTTACTTAATAAAGATAAATTTAACACGTGTACTTTCCAATTCTTTTGATTATTCAACAGATAAAAAATATTTGTTCTCATATGTAAAAATAAAACTTTTTATAAATAGACAATAAATAAAGAGAGAAAAAAGGTGGAAGATTTCCTCAATTAATAATAATTATTCACAATAATTATAGAACTTCAAATTAATCATTTACCTGTCAAACTGTTAATTTGTAGCTAAAGGAATTAATTAGTGAATGACGCGGAAGTGACCTTTCAAACTGCAAACACGCAATTTCACCGCGCGCAATGCATGTCGTTCCTAACATCTTCCTGAAAGCGAGAAAAGTCGTCAACCCGTTCAAGTGGCAAAAAATTTCGATAAAATATCGACGTCGTTCATTAAGTGAAGAAGCTTATCGTGCGTCAAAGTCGTCGATGCATCTGCCGAGTGGCCAGCATGCATGCCGACAGTTCTCGCGTGCGCGGTAAAATTGACGTTAATATTTAAACCGAATTTAAATTGTGTTAAAGATGGTAAATTTCTTTTACTAAAGCAATAAATAAATTCTACCATACATTTATCAGGTTCGTCCTAGACTTTTCTATATTCTTATAGGCTCTTCCATTCTTTTTTTTGTTCTTTTATATTTGCATACCATTGTTTAAAACTATTAATTTTCCAAGACGTTGCGTTACAACGTAAGAAAATTTATAGAATCATAGTTAATGTTTGAGATAATGTAGGTAATATGTAACTCCATCATAAATTTTAATTTTATGCGAAAAATTAATTATTTTCTTAAATTAATTTCTTAGTCAATTTGAAAATAATTTTTTTAATTTCTAATTATTCTTTAAAATATATACTTTCCTATATTCAGAATGTCCTATGTTTTAAATATTCAACTATAATTAGTTCTATAAAATCAGCCTCTTTATATGTGTAGGGGTACATGTTCCACGAGAAAATTCTATGAAATTACGAATATGAATTCACATATAACGCGCATTAATTAACGCTGGTTGTGTGACAGAGCGCATCGCCTCGTCGTACGATATAATTTCGCTCATCGTACGGGCTTAATTGACTCGAAACTTAATTAAGCGCCGGCCGAGGAAGCTCGAGAGTCCCCTACCGAGCATAAAGAATGATCAGATCGAATTGAAGCAATATGTTTTAATCGTCTTGTAAACTGCATCTCATGGCCGAGCGCATTTCGCTTCGGGAAATCGATCCCATGAATCTTAACATATCAACCATTTTCCGTTATGCCTCCTCCTTGTGCCACTTAATCCACTTGTAGTCGCCAAGCTGATTAATTAATTGCGATGATTGCTAATTAACGTCGCCACATAAATCAAGTAAAATTCTGCGATAAACAGTTCCCGAAATCGAATTTATCCAATTACGTAATTATCGGTGCAATAATTTATAATATTTATGACTCTTACGTTATTTGGTCCAGAAACTTATTCTGCATTCTTGCCTTTTTTGACATGTATATATTATATATAAAACTATAATATTAATTAATTAACTTCTCAATCGTTTTTACGTTAAATGGAAGGCTAATATGAGGAGTTACC